CCTTTTGGAAAATTGCTTTATCATGCTTTTTACACAGTAGATGTAGGACTTGTCAGCTATTATATTTGAAATGAGGATTTCCTCAGGATTAAAAATGGCCTGAGTAAGGACCATTGGTTGTAATTATGTATTGCTAAAAATATTCGTTGAAAGATTAAAAAACATTATAAATCACAAGTTTTCTTTTGGAAAGTATTGTTTTAAGCTACAGCATAAGCTATCCATTGCTTTAGATATAGGGTATAAGAACAGGTTGTAGAGATGAGGCCATGTGTCTGGTATCAAGACCCTTGATGCAAATTCTTCATGAAATGTCATCTCACACGGTTGTTGTTACTATTATTCTTTTTCTTCTTTTTTAATATCAAAATGCTGTTATAATTTTAATATCAAATGATAGAAAAAATTAAATACTGGTTCTGGTTCATACTATCATATTTATCACTTAGAGGGCAGCCTTTCTGCCAACTTAGTCATGATAAAAATTCTTGCTGTGCTCATCTTTGGAGTTTGTATTTGGTGATTATGTACTTTCACAGTCTGAAGAAACTCCTGTTTATACTGAAATAGTGATTGAGGCCAGAAGTAAAGTAGGAAATAAAGAAATGATACCCTTACATAGAAAATACTGGAAATGGCAGAGGAGAAGGAGTTGGGGGTAAAAGAATAAATGTCCTGACCTCTGTCTTCTCTTGTCAGAACCCAACTGTAAGCCAGAGAACAAAGGAGTGACAATCTTATAGGACCTGGAACAAGGCAGAGAAAGGTGGAGAATGGCTATGAAAAGACAAGTAGAGAATAATCAGCACAGTTTTCAGGGAACTATAACATTTTAATTTTGGATAAGTGGTCCCTTATGAAGTAACTTGGAGGATTCTTTGCCAAGAGAAGCTATTTTGAGGTCTCCTGAAAGAGTTAGGAGCAGTATTGGTATAATTCTGAGAAAGCTGCAGAAAGTATGGGATTGAGCGGCGAACACAGATTTACTCATGAAGCTGTTTTAAACTTTTCTTGTGGGCAATGTTCAAAGCCTTTGGGTATCTTATTTATTATGTAATTGATCTTCAGGACACTATTGCCAATTTTGACCTTTGCCATACATTCTCTTTCTCTCTCCAGAAGACACAGAGTGGCAGAGCTGCAGCTCAGAGGGTTAATTTAAGTTTAGGAAAGGACAGCCCAAACAGAGGGATAGGCTTCATGGCTAAAAGTTTGTGCTCAGCCAAGAGTCCCTTTGTGTCAATAAATGAAGCCAAAAGAAGAATTGGAATAGCCTTATGAAAGCTGGTCACCTGTATGTGGCCTTCTGAATCAGTATTGGTTAGCAGGATCCTAAGGCATCCTTTCGCACTCTCATCCTCCATCCCCCAACTTTAGAATTTTTAAGAGGCCACAACATGTTAGAATTTGCCAAAGTTGTATTCTGATGCTAAATATGACCAATAATTTGGGGATAAAGCTTTATGGAAACCGCATGGGAAATAATACAGAAGATAGGCTATAAGATTTCTATTTTTTCTTATGTTCAGTTTATTCTAAATGGTTCTATTTAGGTATTTATTAAGTCATAGTCCTTTTTATTTTCTATCTTTAGCATTTTGTCACTGTAGTATTGTTTTGCCAAAGAATTGGTCAGGGTATGCTTCTGGACCTAGATAAGGAAGTCATTTAAATGGACAGTACACACAGAGAGGTTATTTAATAGTATGTAGATGGAGAAACCAAACATTTGCTTAATAACAGCCTTCAAATTTTATATAAAATAATAATCAATTATACTCTCTGACCCTGTTGGGAAACAAGTTTAAGCTAAACCATTAAAGATTTAGGTTTGACAAGTAAGAGTTTCCTGAAGAATGTCAGAGTGGTTACCTGGGAAAGGAGTTCCTTAGGAACATGTAAGATGTCCTTCCCTAGAAGTCATTAAAAGCTAGCTAGGAAAAAAAAAAAAAAAAAAGCTAGCTAGGTTTTTTTTTGTTGTTAGTTTGGAGAGGGTGGCCTCTCAAAGGTCTCTTCTTAGGATTTTATGAATGTTTAGCTTTTGTACTTGGAAAGAATATTTGAATATTTTACCTTTGCTTTCTTTTCTAATTTGGAATAGTTACTTAAACCCTTGAATTTAGTACACTGCCATACTCACTGTGATCACAAAGTACATATTCTTAATAATGATGCACCTGCTTATTCACCTGATAACCATTTTCTGGCTCTATCCCATGATGTATCTGAACTCTGCTAAGAAGCAGGTTCTAACTCTTGACTCAGATATTTAAGTACAGGAATTTAGTCTTATCATTGCTCAGTATGACCAGATCAAGATGGGTGACTTTGAGAAAAAAATCAAGTGTTTCAGATTGCTCTTGTACTTTCTGCGTCTGGCTTGAAAAGCATCACCTGCATTTCTAAAGATATTTTCAAGTGTTTTAGATGTATTTTCTGTAGGGCACCCAGCCAAATGCAAAATTTGAACAAAGCTCCACCTGTTAAGCCCCAGTTTAAAGGCCCCTGAATTCCTGATAAAAAATATATATATATATATATATATATTTTTTTTTTTTTTTTTTT